GTACTCGCCACAACCGGACACAGCACAAACTTCGTAATCGCCATACTTCTGCCCGCAGACCACCCCTCAGACTTCTGGATCCTGCGCGGCACCGCACTGCTCACACAACTCTCGGACTAAACTCTCTAATACTACAATGTATTTTTGAGATAATTATATTTTGTCGTCCTTCTAAATATACTGTTTTATTTAACGTCAAATGGTACCTCAGTTACACATTTATTAAACACTAGCTTTCGCCCGACACTCCGTCCGCGTGGAATTAAAGAAAAACAAAAGTAAATAACCTGTGTTCTTTTAGACTATCCTCTACATCTATGCCGAATTTCAACAAGATCTGTTTAGTATTTTAGACTACAAACTCTCGATCATCCATCCATCTAAACTTCCGCATTTATAATATTAGTAAGGTATTCTGGTTTCTTCCAAAGTCAACTAAAAAGGCTTGACTATCTTTAACACATTTTTTAATTAGTTCAAGCTTACCGTACATTTCTAGTATGTTAACTGTGTGTACAGTTTAACTAACAGTTAAAATTGCATACTTTGGTCAGTTTTAACCATACACTGCACAGCTCCGACTGAAGTGAAAACTTATAAACTTGACTATTCAAGACGAAAGCTTCGAAAGTGCTTACATGAAACACAAGCAGGGACGATCAGTTATCTTATTTACCTCGAATTGTTGGGATTCCAAATAATAAAAAACAATGGTACGGAAAATTAGTTTTATTCAACTTTCATTTTTATCATACGTAACTGCAATATGAAAACTTTGAATGTGTACAATGACAAGTTTTATAAACGAATTATTTTCCTAAAGATTTATTACGTGTAAAACACCACATACAGAAAAATACCAATATCTACAATCTTTGCTATTAATATTTGTTATAAACTGTCTAAACATTCTAGAGCGCGTGGGATACACTTGTGATGAGCTGTCGGTGTCGGTGCGTTGTCGTGTCGGCGTCGTGTCGGCTTCACGAGCGCAATGTATATCACAGCAGAGAAACTGTGCGCGACTCCCTGCCTGCCTCGCATTCAACACACAAACATTCAAAACACAACCAGTCACGGTATCGACATAGATAACGGGTAATAATTGAATTTACCACTGATCTGTATAAATAGATAGGCTTGACATGGGTGACAAATGTGACATTGGTTCGAATTTTAACCACCGCTATAACCGCACAGTTAGCGCTAAATAGCGAAATTTAAATACACACAAAATACTAGGTTATAGCCTGTCCATATATAAAGGTCAATGTATTTTACAAGCGCTTCGACAGACAAACACAGAGTCCACATCTCACGAGGTCGCGCACTCGACACATTACACAAACTAACGAATCATTTTAATTATAATTTCTTTTAATACAACTATTCATTAAACTAATTTAGAAATTGTTACAACTTCCTCTCAAAATGCTTGTTTAATTTTTTTACACAGACATTGAAAACTACACTCAGAATGTATTAAAACCTCGAATTTGGTACATTTTATTAGAATTAAATTATGATTAAAAAGAGACATTTTCCACATTTATTCGCTAAAACTATTTCACTATGACAAATTAATTTTATTCCAAAACATGACAAAGACTTATTTACTTAGTTTCATCTTCAAGTCTCTTTACAATTACATTATCTAATTAATATTACAAATATAAACATATTGGATAATTGTGGTCACACATTGAAATTATTTGAACTAATTAAATTAGGAGATGTTAATAGCTTAAAATCTGTGGGTTTGGTAAACCAGTCTACAAATAAAACATATTTAAGAAACAATCATATAAAGGACAAATACAGGTAATTAGATTAATAATTACAATAAGTATGGATAGTTACAATTCTCATCTGTATGAATAATTATAAATTATTTCAATGTTCTTGTCAACATTGTAGGAACAAGACAGAAACGCAGCAAGCGAATATCAAAAGCAAACCTCATACAATTTCCCTCATTGTTATAAATTACTTAATAACAATTATTCACTTACAACATGGGAAATAACAAATATACACTACAGAGAAAACACTGAAATATTTTACAATTATTTCTATAACAATCACACATTTTTATTGATGACTATTTAATTCAATCAACACAAACAACACGACAACTTGACTCCTAATAATTTCAAGTTATAATTATGATAAACAAATCCACATTAAGAGATTTTACAATTATTGAACATTTGTAAAATTAGTTTAGTGTTATTACTACTATTGTAACAAAAAATGAAATATTGAGGACAACACAAATGGTACATTGAATTATTATAATAAATGTAACAATTGAACATATTTGGGACAACACTATTATAAAAAACTAGTGTATAATTGTAGATTTATTGTATATTGAATAATTATTAGAATATTACATTCATTGCACAACAATTTAGACAAATTTCTATATAGTATGCAATAATCAACTGCGTGTTATAATTAAAGAAATAATTACAAGTGATGCATTATAAATGTGATGTGCTCTCCGCCGGCTGTGGGCCGGCTGTCTCAACTTGTAACACAGATGGTTGCGCGCACTACGTACTACTAGCGGCAGATATAACAAAGTTCCTATAATTTGCACGTTTACAAAACACTGTACACTTACAACCGACCGAGGAATAATATAATCGAGGCAGCGACTCTTCCTTGCGTTTGATTGCCCGTGGGGGGGACCCGCAGTCTG